TTTTCTTAAAGGGACAGGTGACTTTAAATGATCCATAGTACAACTACATGTTATGTACTATGGATCATGGTTTAACCTATTCATGTTAGCAGTGGAGAATTGTAACTCTATTGCTGGAGTGTAGTGGAGGTGTGTGCTGTATATATGCACTACATATACATTACACATGTCCAGTACACTATAGCAATAGATTTACAGCCAGCCCCATCTCAGCTTCCCTTACTCACAGTTTCACCCCGATCCCCATAGCCTCACGCGATGCCTCTTGTAGTCGGCGCTGGGCAGGATCGCTGCATCACATCTCGGTGCTCAGCTTGTGGGAGGCGCTCACAATTCTGCCCTGCTAACATGAATAGGTTAAATCATGAACCATAATACATATACAGCACATACGTCTAGTACACTGCAGTAATAGAGTTACAATTATCCCCTGCTAACATGAATAGGTTAAATCATGATCCATAGTACATAATAGTACATAACATGTTGTTGTACTACGGATCATTTAACCTATTCATGTTAGCAGGGGATTATTGTAAATCCAATGCTGCAATGTACGGGACATTTGTGCAAGTGCTGGTCCAGTGGGAGGAGCTCCAGGTGGGGTCCTAATTTAGCTGGCTTAGAGGTGCCTGCCAGCTAAATTAGAACCCCACCTGGAGCTCCTCTCACCTGACCAGCGCTGACTGGCCGCTGCAGGGTTTTTTTTTCTTACTTACCGCGCAGCAGTAACGTGACGCTCGGCGAGGTAAGTAAGAAGAAGAAAAAAACATAGCGCAAGCTTCGGCGCTAGGCTTCGGGGCATTTTGACAATACTTGTCAAAATGCCCTGTATCGGGCCCGATTCCGATGCTAGCATCGGTATCGGGACATCCCTAGTTAATTCCTATGCTTCTCACCTCCATCTAGTGGCCACAATGTAATATTACAGCACACTACATTTGAACTTGGAAAAGTTCCATCTAGTGATCATAATGTAATATTACAATAGTACATATAAACTGGGGGAAACATATAATGAGAACATTCATTTTTGGCATTATTCACCAAAATGAAAGTCCACAGAATTGTTTATAAATGGATCCCAAAAACTGGGAGGAACTATAGTTACACAGTTGTATAGTTTGTCCGTCTGAAGAAAGCCTCCATTCAGTTCAACTGCAAAAAAGAAAAAAAAAGGTCTGCACTAGATTTTTAAACCCACCCCTAGGCCAGCTTTGTATCATTTGCAAACACAGAAATGGTACTTTTGGCATCCAAATCCTTTATCATTTATCAACATGTTAATTAGTAATTGTTGCAAAAATTGAGTACACTGCTTACAATTTAGAGAATGAATCACTGAATGCTAACATAAGAAGTAACACTGTAGAATGTTGATCTGTGGAGATATCTGATTGCCTTAGGGAGAAACTATCAAATGTTCTTTCCTTCCTGTGGATCAACTTCAGATACATGGTACTGAGGATACAAGGTGTGTTTTGGTTGAAGTCAGTGGACATTTGCCTTTTCAGCCTTGCTATGTAACTATGTACCTTTTAAATGACATACACTGCTGTGTATAAAGATACCGCAGGTAAATGTTTATTGCCTGAGTGAACTTTGCATTGCATTCTACATATAATACATTAATCCAGACATTAAAAATTAAACAAAAACATGTTCCTGTGCATGTCCAACCATACCTACTTTAGATGGAGTATTGAACTTTAACAGCCCCTGTAAGGTTTTTACTGCTATCCGGGGCTACATTGGAGATATTTTCCGCAATTCACTGTTCGATGACGATGGTTTTCACCAGACAGAAAGTGAGATAATATCTTCAACATCAACACAGACATATATTAAAATGATTTTTTTTTAGTAGAACAGGGGAAGGCTAAAACCCCCAGTAAACGTTTTATTGCTCTGCCCCTGTTGCAGGGTTTTCCTCACTTCCTGTCTGATGAACCATTTTGACTGGAAGGATATGAGGATATATCTCTCTAACTGACCCCCAGATTAAAACAAAATGTTCTACTCTTTCCCCACTTGGAAACTGTTTTGTTTGTGACATATTCCTTTTAATAGCATTCTACTATAAATAAACATTCACATTTTTTAAATTGCATCTGTTTCTTCTACTTTGCAAACTGCACCTCTTGTGTCTCATGTATGGAATTGTATTGGTTTATTTACCCAAGTTGACTGTATCCTTTGCATATAAAACAAGTGTCATTTTATTTGAACCTAATACATTGCCTATAAAAGGATGATGTGGTAAATTATGCATACTTTAACGGTTTAGTTTCTGTAATGGCTGTTTGTTGACTTTTCATCGAAAACTCATATACAAAAACAGTCACCTGATGTGGTCAACCATAGCGGGTGGCAAATTCTGTCTACAAACATTCTTCAAAGCAGTCATGACCATTTGGTTCCTCAAACTATATATAAATGGATGCAACAGTGGACAAAAAATGCTATTAAAGACAGCTACAACCTTTCCAGAACTGGATGAGATTGACCCGGCAGGACTTATATAAATAAATATACAGCTTCCATAAGCAAACACCACGGCAATGAAGTGTGAAGAACATGTAGAAAAGGTTTTGCTTCTACCAGAAGATGATGCGATACTGAAGATGGAATACAGGATAAAGCAATACGACAGGATTGTGGGTATAAGAGTGCCTAGTATAGCAAATGAAGTAAAACTAAAGAACATATTCTGAACTACTTGTGTATCAGAGCAGGATAAATTTAAGAGAGCCGAGCCGTCACAGAAGAAGTGATCAATAAATCCAGAATTGCTGCACCACTGTAACTGAAACATCAGGACAAATGCTGGCATGTATTCCAAAATGCCAGCTATCCATAGGCAAACAATGACCTTCCAGCAAAACTGGTCTGTCATAATGTTGTTGTACCGTAAAGGATGGCATATTGCAAGGTATCTGTCAACTGACAACAGCCCCAAAGTGTAGAACTCAATGGTGCCTACTACTACATAAAAATATAATTGTAGAAGGCAACCATTACAAGTAAGGGCATTATCTCCACTCACCAGGGTAGCCACAAGCTTGGGGGCTGTCGAAGAAACAAACAACATATCTGAGGTTGCCAAACTTCTTAGGAAGAAATACATAGGTGCCTGTAGATTCTGATCTAAACTTATGACAGTGATGGACAATACATTCCCCAAAAGACAGATGACATAGGCAAAGATCAGAGCTATCCCTATATGTATACGTAATGTAGGATCAAGTGTAAAGCCAGCAAGAAAAAAATGAGTCTGGTTACAAAAGACCATTGTTTCTTGTAGTAGATGCAAATGGTTCAACCAGACACAAGGCAATAAGAAAGAAAGAAAATCCAGTTATTTTAGATGCTGAATATCATAATCCATCCACACTGACATATGATAGCGACATGATATATATATGCACATCTTCAGACATTTAGGACATTAATATACATGAACAGAGGATTCAATTTATAGTCCCTGTTATCTTCTCTGGGTTTCCCCCTGGGACACTCATGGACACAAATGGCTGATCTCATAAGGAGTTCTAGCTAGGTAAACAATTCTTCCAATGTGTATTACTAAAAAGGTTATTTTTTAGGGTTAATTTGAAAGGAAGCCAATTAAACCAACAGCATGTTTCCCTATAGCTAAATGTCAGGAGGGCATTAAAAAACACCAATTATTGCATTTATGTATTCATTACCAAAATCATTAAATACATTGTTAAAAACAATAGAAAAATAGCTAAATACACAGGTGAAATACATATAATGGAGCTATCTTAGTTGCCAAAGCATTTGTATTTCTGTCCACCCAGTTCTAAGATTTACTCAACTCTGCTGCAGTTAAGTAACACCTACAGGGCCTGTATCCAGGGGCGTCCCGAGGCTGGGTGACACCCGGAGCGGAGACCGGGTGTCACCCCGTCGTGACGTCATCGTGCATGACGTTGCCGGGCCCGTACGCGATGACGTCATCACGCATGCGCGGTCGTCATATTGACGCCAGCACGCGGCCATCATAGTGAGGGACGCCGGCAGAGAGAGGAGGGGGCATTTACCCGACGGGATGAGGTATGCCGCCGGGTCCCCTCCACCCTGCTGATACCCTGCTGGTCACGGACCGAGTGCCCGAATTTTCATAGGGGGTGAGACCAAAATTACTGTCATTTTGGCTGCCCCCCCCGCATCCCCCTTGTGACGCCACTGCTTGTATCTCCCCCAGCCTGTGAATGGACAGTGAGAGTAGAAGAAACAGATTGATAAACTAATTCCTCGGTCACTCTGCTCTCTTCTCCTATTAGCATATCCCCTGTTAGCACATGAGCACTGCACCACAACTGACTGCCTCCTTGTGTTGCCTTTCTATTGATTTACTAAAGGGAAATAGACTGTTCACTTTGCAAGCGAATCAGCACATTGCAGGGGAAGGTTCCCCTTAGCTTAGTGAATGTGAGGAAATTTCACTTAGCAAAGAATCCCCAATCATGTGTTTAAACTTGTTGCTACAGCATACTGCACTTAAGAATTAGTACTCTTTATTGAATAAAGTAACAAGAGAAAGAATGCAAGGTCCACAAAAAAAAGCTTCACCTTTGATGCAAAAATATGTGCACAAGTTCTTTTTTAATTTGTTGGTTTTAACTGGTTCAGTTCTTGCACCTGTACACCCCTCACAGACCAGAGCAATAGTTACATTTCCACTATGGGGCTACAGGTTTAGCTACCTTTGTCATTGCTTATGATGTGGAAGTAATACGGCTATCATTTTTTTTTGGACAGAACTGGCTTTCTTTTGGCAAAATTGTCTTGCAGACTGTGTTTTCTTTTCAATATACTCTTAAGAAAAAATTTAACAAAATTAAGAAAGAAATATTTTTTTTCTAGTTTAACTAGTGTTATTTTAATATGAACCCAAAAGTTACTGTATATTAAAAAAAAGAGCAAAATATAATTTGTGATGTGTCCTATTTAATGCTAAACTAACTAAAATAACTACAAATTAGTTCCTGGTACAAATCATGGCACATATTTAGAAATAAAATAAAGGCAGTTTTTACATTTTTTTTGTTTAATGCAACATAACAAAAAACAACACACAAAATAAACAAAAATTCAAAAAAAAATTGCATATGAATAATAAAAACATAAAAAATAGAAAAAACAGACCCAGGAAAAAAAATAGTAAAAGGAAGAGAAAGGAGTTATTTAGGGATGAGTAGAATTAACATTTTGTATTAAAAATGTTTCTCACTTCTGAGGATGTTTTCTGTAAATCAAAGAACAGGGTATTTGCAGGTACTTAGATTAGGCGTATTAGGGTATACCTTGTACACCAAGGTACACAAGTGGTTATATAATCACCTTTGTAATTCAGTCTGCAGTCATTATACTATGGGGTCTATTCACAAAGCTGCCGAAGGATCCAGCAGTAGCTTCGGCTAGCTTCGGTTGCTGGAGCCCTTCGGTTGCGGAAGCCGAAGTGTCAGCCGAATTGGGGCGAACGGCCTGAAGGTGGGCCTTTCGCCCCGCAAATGACAGCTGGGCGGAGCCAGACATGATCTCATGGCTGGCTCCGCCCAGTTGTAATGACAGATCAGCGTCCCCAAATGACCTGGGGATGCTGAACTGTCATCACACAATAACAACTGGGCGGAGCCGGCCGTGAAATCATGGCCGGCTCTGCCCAGTTGTTATTCATTTGCCGGGACCTGCTAGAAGGCCGTTCGGCCCCTATGTGAATTTGGGGCGAACGGCAGAGAGTGAGCTGCAGGAGCTTCGGCTCAGCCAATCCAGATGTTGGATCGGCTGAGTCAAAGTCCTTCTGCACTTCGGCTGTACTGAAGCCGTACTGAGTCGTAGTGACTCACTTCACTACAGCTCAGTTATTCACTTGGCTGCCTTTGGCAGCTTTGTAAATAACCCCCTATGCTTCCTTACAACTATGAGAACCTGGAGGTTTTTCACAAACCTGTCTTCAGAACACCGAAAAAAACGAATGCCCTGCTTGTGAATTGCTTATTGCTTTTTTCAGTGACATGTTTTTCAATGCCATTTTTACTCCTTTAGGATGATTTAAACAGGGGGAAAAAATCTTACTTATTTTCTGTTGCATGAGATTTCTCAACTGATTCTAAGTATTTTGCTGACTGCTGATCAATGCTGATTTCAAATATGAAATCAGTTTTCATCTACATGCTCTAGTTTTCATGCAATTTGAAACTTGTGATTTTCTCAAAAAAGGACACCCATTGCTATTTACACTAGGAACAGCTTGAGAACTAAGCTTACATCTACCCTAATCTTAGACTAATTAGGCACATTTTTTTTTACAAACATCAATATTCTTTATCTTTTTTGTTAATTTTGGATTATAGAGATTTATCTGATTTACTTGATTGTCTTTATGAAACAGTTCATGAATGCATTAAGTACTGATGGTGAATGTTTTCAATATATGGTTGCTGCTTTTCCTGCTTTGTCTTTCGAGAAGATCAAAGCAGGTGTGCTCGATGGACCTCAAATTTGTGCCCTTGTACGTGATGAGGAATTTGCCAGGAAGATGAATGAGAAGGAGAAGGCAGCATGGCTATCTTTTGTGGCAGTTATACAAAAACCTTCTTGGTAACAAAAAGGTAGATAACTATGAGGTTCTCGTTACTAGAATACTGTTGGCTTTTCGCGATCTTGGGTGCATGGGAATGGGGAAAAAATATGATGGCAGACTACTGCTGGAGCACCAAACAAGATTGCCCTGAGAAAGTCCACAAAAGCTACAGCGACAAGAGCAAATTCTTGCCTGAATAGGACATATTTGAACTTTGCATCCCATCCTCATCAGTTGTTATGAATCACCTATCTTCTTGGAAATATATGTTACTATAAAGTAAAAAGCATTAGTGCATACTCATACCTGACTTTAATGGATAAAGGATTCAGATGGGACAAGTGGCGATACATATTTTACTCCACACAAGTGATTTTTTTTTTGCCTTTTTTAAAACTTGAATGCATATTGTGATGCACCTACACATTTTTGTGAATACATAAAGAATATTTTTGTCAAAACGGTTGTTTAAGCCTAATTTTAAGACTGTGTGACCATAAATTCCTCAGATAGACAATGTCATCCTGCGAGAGATGTCAAAATTTGGAAAAAAATTATATGTTGAATTGCAAAAAATCTAGAGCTTACAGAGAAAAACTAACTTGAGATTTGAATTCAAATTAGGTAAGAAAAAATTCTGGTATCAATTATAAAGGCATACTCTCCCAGTTAGCAGTTAGTTTGAGAAATGACATGGTAAGGCATATATCAATTTCTTCAGGACAAGAACAAATAAAAATCTGCATTCAAAGTGGCATGTGTGATAGTTTTGTGAAACAAAAGAGTCAAAGTTGTTAGTTAATAATGTGTCATATAACTACTTCACTGTATAGCAACCTGTAATTAAACCCTTACATTTTGAAGAAAAAAAGGGTCATTATACATTTCACATTTTCACTATTTTAATATCTAAGTGTTGATGTTTTATCGGAACTGCTATGAATATAGGGTCCCTTGGCTTGGCAAAATATAGGAGTATATTACTTTTTTATTATTTTAATTTAAATAAATAAAAAAAAAATAAAGAACTATTCCTGAAATAAAAGCAAATTAATACAAAATCCTTATCTATGGTCAAGCTGCCCTTGTCTTTTAGTACAGGATATGGTGTCATTGTGGACTTTGGGAATAGGTTTATCAACCTTTTAATTTTATTTTTTATCTGTTGACATGGGCTTCTCAAAGCACTATGATTTTTTTTCTTTGGGTAGACTATCTCTGCTAATAGTTATAATTTAAAAAGCCATCTCAGCATGAGAAAACCTAAAGGCATGCCCAAATGTAGAAAAACAGCTTTAGTTAGGATGAAAGTGATGACATTATCATTAATCTATGACGACTGTCTAGATGTGTGGAACTCACAAATATAGGACGCTGATCATTTGGTTACTGCTTGTTAGATAAAATATAGTTTATTTAAAATGGCTGAAGGAATGAATTTGGTTTTATTCAGTAAAGGACTAGAAATACCTATTCTGTATTCTCATTTGAAAAAGAATTTGACATAAGTGGCAGAGTTTGTAGTGTTTTCAGATATGAAAATTGTCACTGGGAGATTGCTGGCTGCATATAACAAACATAAGCACAAACTGATACTGAATTGTTG